GGCGATCGGCGAGGCCTCGTCGATCGGCGGAAAAATGCGACCAGCGGTCGACTTGGGCGTGTTTGGCTTGGACATGTCGATGTTTTTGTTCGTTTCTTTCTTGGTGAAAAAACTAGTTTTATTCCGCCCACCGACTCCAGCTGGGAGTTGGTTGCGCAGGACGAGAAGAAATGAGAACTGAGTGATTAGCACAAGCTTAGAGGAACTAGACCTAACCCTAAGGGGAAACCTTGAGGGAGGATCTGGGACTTGGGCTTGGGGGAATCTTGGGGCTCGGTAGTTCTTCGCGGCTGAAACCTGACTCGGGGATGCTACTTGATCATCCCAGAGTCCCACCGGTCACGACCGGAACAACGTTGTAGCGACAATGGGAGACTCCAACGCGTGTGTTGTGCCCGTCGATGACCTTTGGCATCTTGAAGCCGCAGCACCGGCTCACCGATAGTATGGATATAGCCATCTCGTCCGAGACAAGAAGCGACGCACCTCGGCGCAGTGCCGCCGGCGCGACAGAAACGAAAACGATCGGCCGCAATGTGCGCACACGCGCCGCTGCGACTTGTCACCGTACGCGGCAAGCCGTGGGTCACCAGCTGGGTTTGCATTTGTGCACGCTGCAGCGATTTCTCGAGCCAGCCGCAAGATCTACGAGCTCTATGAGTCTCTTACCACCGTCCAGTACATACGACCTTGGCGCCCTCGCGGTACATTCCCCTGGAGATCGACGGCTACAACCAAGTAGCAGTCGAGGACACCAGGCTCCATCGTCTTCATAAACACATGTCCGCTCTCCGCAATGACATGTGTGAGCCACGCCGGCGTCTCCTGCTCTCTGAGCACGTCATGCGTGTCGAACCCGGACGATGCTCGCGCGCAAGGACGGACGCGCGTCAAGTTTAATCGAGGAAAGCGCTCGCACAAAGCCTCATCGTCGCACCAGTTCCTCGGGGTCGGAAGGCGTAAACTGATACTAGAGTGCATTGGTGAGAGAAATGCTTTGTATACCTTGAGGAAGCACGCGTCATGGTTTCTCCAAACGGGCATGCGGTGGCTGCCCAGTTGAGCGTCACCATGGGGTGCAGAGCTGCCTGGTGCACAAGCGTGGTGAGGCGCTGGCGGTCCAGGACACTCGACTCGATCGCGCTGGCGTACTCGCGCATCGTCTTTGGTGTGTCAGTGTTGAAGAAAGCATTGACGTCGTCCAGTGACGTGCGGATCTGCGTGTTGGCGCATCGGCCTCGGTGCAGCAATCCATGGCCTGACTGAGCTACCAGTGGTTGCGTTCATGAGTTGCTAGTGCGATCGATGTACGAGTACACAAGGAGTGTACGTACTTGTACACTATTGACGATCCTGTGCTGGCGTCGCAAGAGCGTCTCTCTTGATAACCGAGTCAAGAAAAATAGATCGAGTTGCTGACTTAGCTCCATTGTTGACTGCCGTCTGGAGCCGAATGAACAGGTCTAGAAGGACAACTAATCTTCACCAGAGCGAAGCTCGGCGCTCACTTACCGGTACTAGCAGCCCACGTCTACCCCAGACTCCACCGCCACTGGAATCAAGGCGATACTATACAACTGATGTATAAAGCCCAGGCCATGGCCTTGATGTGTCGAGACTCGCGATTGCGGCAAACACCTACATCGTGCGCTCCGCCCTGGGAAGAGCCAATTTGGCAAGTAACGTCGTTATGCGAGAGTCGGCTTCTTCGGTCTCGTAGCCACGCTCTCCAGCGGTAAAGTGGCTACGCTACCAATGGAGACTACTTGGTGCTTGTGCACAAGCTCGTTCATACTGTTAATTCACCATACATTACGACATGCCATGGCAGATGAACGAGCGAGTACGGATGACGAACAATTACTTATACACTAGTGTTACGATTCGGTCGGCTCGTACACCCTATTTGTCGATAAATACAGAGGTGGGCAGCGGCGACACCAAGATCTTAGTAGTCGGGGAGGTCAATGTCGTGGAAATCGACAATCTGCCACTCGCGCTGGTCGGCGTCAACGGGCGATTCAAACGACCAGAGCATCGACGACGACTTTTGCACTTGAAAATCGCGATGGCCCGACGTGACGCGCACCGTGTGCACCATATCGCAGTGCACCTGGAGCTGCATGATGTCGTTGGCGACCGACGCTTGGAAGACGGCAACGTTGGCAAACCGAATGTGCCGCAGGTCGTAGCGCATGCCTCGCTTCTTGGCTTCTTGGATCTCAAACACGCACGCGTCAAAGCGGCGGCGCGACATGCTATCCTGGAGCCATTGCACGTCGCCCGACATGACCGATGGATCGGCCACGTACGCGCGGAACGCGTCCGAGTACATTTGATGCAGCACCGCGTCAACCGCGGTCTTGGCGCCATCGAGGAACTCGTCCATAGCCAGCGGCTCGTCGAGCACTTGCAGGCTTGTGCACACGTGCCACTTTTTTCGTGCCGGGAGCGACGGTGCGAGGTTGTGGCGAAGCTCGTGGAAGTGTAGAAGGCTCTTGACCTGGTGGTAGAGGCCGCGCAGGAGCGCGCTGGGCGGGGCCACGGGCAGCGGCGACGACGACGACGCGAACCGCTTCGGCACAAGCGTTGGCACCCGTCGGGCAATGTGGTGGAACTGGAAGCGGCGCATGACCATGATGGTATTAAACAGCAGCGACAGAGTCAAGCAACTTGCGAAATCAAGTCGAAAAGCTCGAATGCGATCCTTGGTACGAATTTGAATCCATGTTTGTATAGTGTTGTTCTTAAATAATGTTAGTGCGTCGGCAACGGTCGTATGTCGGTCGACGACCAAAAAATCGCGCCGAGCGCGAAGGACATTGATTTAAAGTTGAGAAGTGTATGCTGTGCATCAGTCGAATCAATGCGACGACAGAAGACACCAGCTTTACACGTCGTCACGCTGCTCTGCTGCGATCAACGAAAAATATACACTATTCAGGTTTAGAACGATTGGCCAATCGAAGCTGAAATAGTGTGGGTTCAATCATCCGGATATACGGGGTCGCTTGTTTATCCGGCCAAATCGTGGTAAGACAATAAAATCTTATGGCCGCCGCTCGGATCTGAGCGAACAGAATGGGATCTGGTGGGCACTGATTGGCTCGCCGCTGGTTCCACAAACGGTTGACGCGACTTTTCTCAGGTGCCGCGGCGTCTCGCACAGCGTCGGCGCGAGATTCTGGACGCCAAAAACACTGTTTCAATACGGCTTCCAGTGTTTCGCCTGAGCACCGCTAGCCAAAGTGCTATTTCGCGCTCCATAATTGGGCGATTGCAACCGCGTAACCTTGCCGTCGTCTTAAGCCCAACGCCGTGTTGGTCGATAGCGGCGCTGCAGCTCCTCTCCAAGCGGGCACGGCCTCGGACGATGGGTGTCACAGGTCCGCGTGCATGACGCGGAGGTCTGCGTGGACCAATCTTGGCGCGACGTGCGTGCAGCTGGCACGGTGGACAATTCAGTCCGCGCCAAGTCGCACGCGGGCAAGAGCGGTGCGCCCTGTCGCGTGAAGACTGGCGGCTTGCGCCAAAGCTGGCTGTTTTCACCAACGACGTACGACGATGTGCCCAGCGGGTTTCGCTGGTGGTGCGGCTGCGCTGCCTGGATCGCTGCAGCTGCCTCTTCTCTGCGCACGGTGGCGCATGGGTGCTGCTGTCTCCTGCCATCCTGGCCAGAGCTGTTGCCGGGTGTTGTGCCAATGTGATTTCACACCGATCTTGGTCGTATTTTTCACCACTGCCGTATTATCCACCGTGTGCTTCTCTATCCGGATGAAGCGTGGAACCGGAATTTGCATCCATGGCTTCGAACCGGAAGCAGGTCCTCGAGGAAGATGCGTACGTCGAGGCGCTGGACGCGATCATCGAGCGGGACTTCTTCCCGGATCTGCCCAAGCTTAAGTACCAGACCATGGTAGACATCGCGCGCCCTTGGCTACAAGCCTTATGCGTCATCTCACGTAGTGGCTCGATGCTCTGGCCACGAAGAACGCGGCCTTGATCGCTCAAGTTCGCCAGTACATTGCCAACGACCAGCAAAAGCGCCCGCAGACGAAGACGAGCTCAAGGTCACAGCGTACGCTCCTACGCCACAATGGCGCTGAGCTCTCATATGTACCATACCGCTACTAGTAGAGGGCCTTACAGGCAGCAGCAAACGCAAGCGGGCAGACGACGAGGGCGCATCGGCGTGGGACGTTCCGACACCGCCACGCACCTCCAGCGACATTGAGGAGCCTACCGAAGACGATGCTACCGTCGGTGACGCCGGCGAAGCGCCAAGCAAAGCAACCGCAACGATGACATTGAACCACTTCTTGGTACGTCGAACGAGGATATGCATCCCATGCGCTAACCTTACCCCAGGCAACGCACACGTCCGAGGACAATGCAGCGTTCGAGGAGCTGCAAGAGAAGGCCGTCGCCGAGCACAAGAAGAAGTACCACTGGGCGTTCGACGATGACCACGCGACTACGCGCTTGCTCCTGCTACCTGATGGCACCAAGATGACACAGGAGCGACGGCTCCTCATGGACAAAGCATGCGACACAAAGCTCGGTAGATCATCTCATTCAATTGCACGGATTCACGACTGCAGTACGCTTACTCATGGATGTAGCCTTGGAAGACTCCCGACCTGTCGCGCCCGACACGTGGACCTTCCGCGCCCGTAACCAGCTGCTCTTTCCGCCCGACCTCGAGACGTCACGGGCCATCTGCAAGGTGTCGAAATCTCGACGCTTTCCTCTCACAACCTCGCGTCTAGCTGGAGGCAACGACGACGGGCGACGTGCTCTTGCTTGAGAATGGCACGCTCCCAGCCCCGGATCGTGCGCTGACCAAATCTCTTCGGACGGGCGCGGTGGCCAAGAAGCCGATGGAAACTGTGTACGCCAACTCGCGCTTCTCGTCTGCGTTCCTCGCGAGCCAAGAATTGCCGCCCGACATTGCCCCCGCTGCGCCACTGGACTTGGTCGAGATGACGCCGCTCATTGTACCTGGCGACGGGAATGAATCGCCGCTCATGACATGGGGCGACATTGCGGCGACACCGATGATCCTCCCGAGCGAGACGCCCGCCCGTACGTCGAGCAGCCCGTGAGCGGAGCGAGCTCTTACCCATGCGCCTGTAGACCGCCCCGTCTTTGAAATCAAGGACAAGTCCAAGCGAGAAAAGCTCGCGCTCGCCATGGACGCAAAAAACAAACAGGTCTTCTTGCTGGAAGAGACAATGGCTGATGACACGCACATTGTTGAGTAGCGCATGAAGGCCAAGAAGACGCCGACGCCGTTCCGATCGACGCCAGGACGCGGCAAGGCGACTCCGACGCCGCTTCTCAGTGTCTTCCGCGCCGGTGCGTTCTCGGAGCTCCGAGCCAGCTACGCCACGCCGCTTCGTTCGTCAAGCAAGAGCAACCCCCCTAAAAAGTGAACTCTCTCTTGTCTTCTTGAACACTCTGGCTCGTTGTTTCCTGGAGTCGGGATGTGTCGGTGGCCATCCAGCGGCAGTGCTCAAGATAGACAATACCACAAGGTCCGACGCGAGACTGCCGTGACGCTCGACAGCAAAACCACACGTGCAGGTCGTTGGTGCCAGCCAGACGATGCAAGTGACGCGTATTCTGCTGCGCGGAAGCAGCACACTTCGATGCCTTGATTCACGCCACCTATAAACGGCCACTCGACCATCGCTCGCATCTTAAGGTCGTTGATGCGCATGCTTCATGTTGGGTGCTTTTAGTTGCGTCCAGAAAGCCGTGTGAAAAATCCTTGCACCGCTCAGCTGCACCACCACCTCCGTCGATCAGTTTGCCGCTACGTCAGTAGCCATGGCAGATGGTGTGAGGGTACTGTTTTTAAAGGTCTGGGAGGGTTAACCCTCCCAGACCTAAAGGCGGATTATCCGCCAAGTTGAGTTTTGTGTCTCAACTTGCCATTTGAATTCGTTTTTGAGTTTTGACCCAAAAGGATACCGCTGGAATGGCGCAACCTCCAACAACGTCGTCATGATGACGATTGACCGAACGACTGCATTGATTGATACGAAGGTGACGCGAGTCCAGTGGTCGAGTGCATCGGTGCGAATACCGAACGAATGTCGACGATGTCGGCTTTTAACTTGGTGTCTCAACTTGCTGTTGAGCTTGCTGTTGAGCTTGCTGTTGAGCTTGCCGTTTGAGCTATCAGCAACAAGATACCGCGGAGATGGCGCCACTCGTAGCATCCGTCGTGCACGTGCCACTGACCGTGGTTTGATCTATGCAGTCGTGCGTACTGACGCGATTGCGCCCAGGTTCGCTCCTCCACCTTGTTGCGGACGACTTGCTTTTGGTCATTTTCCAATGCTCCGGACCCGCCTCAAGTCGACGTTGGCTGCCGTCGCCACTGCCGCCGAGGCCTCGCCCAGCCTATGCGGCATTCCCGTCGCGCCAGAGTGGGGTTTTGGCCCGCTGCGCTGCAGCTTTGCGCACTTTGCACCCAAGAATGGCTTCCGCTTCCTCTTTGAGCGCCTCCACGCGCTGCACGCGTGCCTCGGCCCCATCTTCCGCGTTCGGTTCCTTCCATTCCAATCGTACGCGGTGAGCATCTCGGACCCGGACGCTGTCGCCCAAATCTACCGCCACGAAGGCGCCATGCCGCAGCGCCAGATCTTCGCCTTCTGGAAGCTGTACCGCGACGAGAGACAGTGGCCGTTGGGCTTGACCAATACGAACGAGTACGCCGAGTGGAAGAAGTTCCGGCTCGGCATGAGCGCGCACCTACTTCAGCCGCACAACGTGAGCACGTGGCTGCCGCGCCTCGATGCGGTCGCGCGTGACGTCGCGGCCCGCATCGAGAGCCAAGCACGTGCGTCACCGAGCGGCGATGTGCCCATGACGCTGACGACCAAGGCGTTTACGCTCGAAGCCGTCTCATCGATCGTCTTTGGAAAGCGCATGGGCTGCCTCTCGCGAAACCCTTCGACGCCCGTGTCTGCACCGGCAAAGGCCTTCATCCGCGCGGTGGACGGCTTCTTCGAGACCACCCAGCAGCTCATGGCGATTCCGCCCGACGCGCCGCGCGTCGTGTACAAGGTCCTACCCGCGTACAAGGCGCACGTGGCGCACGTCGACTTTATCTTCCGCTTGGGGCACGACATGGTGCGAGAGAAGATCGCGTCCAGCGAGCTGCGCGCGGAGCCCGATTTGCTCACGCTCTTTCTGCAGCGGCCTGAGCTCAGCGAGCGCGACGCGGTCGCGCAGGCGCTCGATGTGCTTTTTGCGGGCGTCGACACGACGTCGACTGCGCTGCTCTGGGCGCTCTACTGTCTCGCGACATCGCCCAACAGCCGCGAGATGCAGCGCAAGATGCGCGCCGAGGTCGAGTCGGCACTGGACGGCGCCGCGGAATTCGACGCCATGAGCTTCGAGAAGCTC